GTATTAAAACAAAGAAGCTGCTGGTCACAGTTTTAACATCCAGAGTTTACAGCAGATCAAAAGTGGTGGTTAAAGTCACGTTTATCACACAAACGTCCACAGCAGCCAGAGTAAAACACAGTGAAATGACCAGTCAGAATAAAGCCGAAAGCACGTGTCGGGCAGGCAAGTGAGACAAAAATCTAATCAGAGGAAGAGGAGGCCGAGTCGGGAGAAGAAGACAGAGGTCAGGGTGAAAAATGTATCGGAACCTTTTGTTATTATTCCATCTTTCCTGCAGAGCTGCTGTTTATTCAGCGGCTGGTGAATTTGTTTTACTCCAAATGAAACAGAGGGAGAGCAGAGTGAGCCGCAGATCAAATAGAATGTGAAAGAGAGTGGCGGGGAGAGAAAAAAAAAAAAACAGCCCTCACTTCCTACTTACATCAAACGCCCGCACAGTGGGTGCCAATCAGCCGATGATATATTACACAAATTCCAATAGTTTGAGGAGAAGAGAAGCACAGAGTCGGCTATCAAGGTGCTGCAGCCGAGCACCCGACCTCCTCTCCGAGCTTCTGTGTGGACCAAGAAGAAACCTCTGAGCAGTGTAACTAATGTGTCATCGAACATGTCCACTCTCACCTTCAGCACTGTTTTCTTAGAACAATGAGGGAAAAACCTGCAAGTGGTGATGTCAGAGCATGTGTATGTAAAAGAAGCGGGGTTAATTACGAGTGACATCATCAGAACCATGAATGAAGTGGGCTGCTTCATATGATATGAGATAAAATGATGCCGAAAGTGTCTACAATTGTGAGACAGTAGAATGTCAGTGGCGTGGCATGTAAATAACGCTCTGCAATCTTTAACCAGAAAATGTAGAAACATTGAAAACACTATCCAAAAGTTCACTGTCGGCCAAGACTTACATTAAGTGTAGGTATGACTGGGCTATTTATATATTATATTTTCCGCTGTTTAGTTCAGTGATGACAAAACTACTCCGAATGTGTCACCTAAAACACTTTAAAGTGATGTCAGACTGTTTCTGCTGCTGAAGTAAGGAATGGAAATGTAGTTTAATTACTGAACAATGAGGTCTGTGTGACTGAAGTGACGCATCTTACTATATAATGACGAAAACTCTGTCTGTGTGTGTGTCTGTTCCACGTTTTTCTCCTCACTGACTTGGTCAATCCCTGTGAAATTTGGCACAGTGGTAGAGGGTCATGGGAGGATGCGAATAAAGCAATATTACATCAATTGGCCAAAGGGGGCGCTATAGCAACCGATTGAAATTGCAAACTTTGAATGGGCATATCTCATGCCCCGTATGTCGTAGAGACATGAAACTTTGCACAGAGATGCCTCTCCTCATGAGGAACAAATTTGCCTCAGAACCCATAACTTCCGGTTATATAGATTTTCCGCCATTTTGAATTTTTTGATAAACACTTCAAATCGATCTCTTCCTAGGAAGTTTGACTGATCTGCATGAAACTCGGGGAACATAATCTAGGGACCAATATCTAAAGTTCCCTCTTGGCAAAAGTTGGAAAACTTACTAAAACTGAGCTTCTATAAGGCAATGAATATTGCGGAGGGCGTGGCTCATCACATAAAGGTGTATAACATCTCAAGGGTTTCACCCATCACCACGCAACTTTGTAGGCATATGACCACACATAATTTGAGTGGACCCCTCCATTATTGACCCCATCAAACAAAATGGGGGCGCTAGAGAGCTAATTTCTTATATAGGCCTAACCACCATATCGATTTTTACTAAACTTGGTAGATATGTAGAACAGGAAGCCTCAAGGTGACTAGAGAAATTTAACTCTAATTGGCAACTGGGTGGCGCTATAACAACAGAAAAATGCATAAAAATGGCTAAAATGCGACCGATCGCTGTGGCTCCCCCTGTGGCCGAATGTTTTGGGTGTTTTTTCTAATTTTTGGTATGACTAAGTTATGGTATGGTATGGTATGCTGTACATAATCATGGAAACTGTCAGTCAGTCATTCTGTCTGTCCCACGTTTTTCAAACATTGCAAACTTACATTGCTCTTCTTAATGGGTTCAGTTGACTATTTAATCTGCAATTTCCTATGACCTGTATCCCAAACACACACCATGTGAAACTGTACGTGGGCAACTGTACACTCCAAGTGTATGGACTAGTTTATAATAATGGGGGCCAATTAACAGTGTGTGGATTATTTTTGTAATAAAACATAATCTTTCTTCCCCTGGTTCTCACAACACAGGTGTCTTGTGTTATTTTGAGCTGCAGAGTGTTAAATAGCAGAGCTGTCACTGTGGACTAAAATAAACTTTGCATGATTTCAGATAGCGCTAAAATTGTGTGTTTAGTGTTGTATATGATCTCTGTGTTTGTTAGCTCTGTTTAAAACCAGTGGAAATAGAGCCCTGGAACAATGAAATGATTCTGCTGACCTATAACAATATGTAGACTTTATCTTCAGTGATCTGATTGGTCAGAGGTCGGGGTGTTGACAGGTTGCGATCTGATATCCTGGAGAGCTGTTCAGCATAAGTTACCATGGTAACCACAGCGTACCAAGTGCTGAAAACCCAGAGTTACCTTGCGAACTCCAAATTCTGCTTCATAGCGCAGGCAGCTAGTTTGAACTGTAGGAAACTGTACAACAGTTAGCCCAATCACAGTCTTTGGCTAAATGCAAGTGAATCATGTGAAGTGTCCTGTCGGGTCCAGCGGTGTGCTCATCATGAACTACTGTATTTTATTTGTGTTCCCCTGGACTGCAGAGTTAGGAGAGTACTTGTTGTTGTTGTTGTTGTTGTTGTTGTTGATATTAAGGAGAAGGGGAGGGACATTCTTCTTTTCTGATCTACTGTCTTGCACTGTATGATACTTTTTAATGGTGTTGTTTTCTGTCTGATGTACTCGATCTGTTGGCTTCTCATAAAGTTGGAGATATCAGAGATGTTCTTCCTCCTCTGCACTTATATGTATCATTTACTCCCACTCTTTTTGTCATCTGAAAGAACGAGTGCATCACCGTGGTCTCACTGTTCAGTTCCCCCAGGTGCATTTCAATTGGCTGTTCACTCAGTCAGTCAGTGGTCGCTTTGGCTGACAGAATTCCCCCAGCATGCACCTCTGAATTCACAGCCTCTCACCTCCAAGATATCCTGATCGGTCACTTTAGATCTATGATGTGGGAAATTAGCAGAGCTCATCTTTTTAATGCACAGGGGTTAAAATCAGACCCATATTAAGACTAAATGCCTCAAATGTGATAATATCAGTTTGTATAGAATGTACTTTTGTGTTTTCAGATTACAGAATACCAGTGATATAAATACTTGTGTGTTGATAGAATTGACGAGCAAGTATTTATCATTTCAAGATATTTTTTGATGTATTTGTGCCCATCTGTGTCTGTAATTCACCTGCGTGTCTTTGAACTGTAGGAGAAACTGTTGCACCTAGAGGAAAGTGACGCAGGCACAGGAAGAACGCGAAAACATCACACAGAAAGAAGAAGAAGCCGGACAGCAGAACCCTCTTGCTGTGAGGTGACGGTGCTAACCACTGCACCACCAGCTCTGTCCACAATCCATCCACCAGCGCCTCTAACGTTCACTAACAGGCCTATTTTACAGCAAACATTTGGAATTATCATAACAGGAAAAGCACAGGTGTAACTAGTAACGTTCAAGATGGCTGTGTTGTGTTCAAGTGCGTCAGTAATTCTCAGTGTGACAGTCAGCCAGCATGCACAGTGAAGCAGCTAAATGGAATCCAGCCATCTTTAATGTCATCATTTTCCTACCGTGATATGACAAAATAATTAGTGTACATGGTTATTTTTTATTAAAGGAGCTTTTTAATGGTTAAAATGTTTTTAAAAAAGTGTCAGATTATTTATGAATTCAGCAAACCTTTTGTGTGTTCCACCACTTTGAGGCGCTGCCATAACAACGTTGGCATGTGACAGTAGCCCCTTTCACACTGTATCTTCAAGGCAGGAATTTCATGCTACTATGCTGCCTCGCTATTTTGTATAGAAGGTACAATTGCGGAATGAGGGGACAGATTTGTCGTGCCTCTGAGCTGGGAACGGATGTAGTAAATGTGCCGAAACAAGGTCATTGTGTTGTTTTGATGACGTGTTATGCATGTGACCCACCATGAGATATTAAAAATGTAGCTGTTAGCAGTTAGCGGCTAACTTAAAGTAGGAGAAAAGTGGCAAAAATTGTCTGCAAATCAGAGAACAAGATCAGCTGTTACATGTTACACTGCTGCCACTTTACATGTCACACACTAAAGGCCGAGGCTGTTGTGATAAATGTCAGAACTGTAACATCGCTTTTGATTCTGCGATGCCAGGATGCAATCTGAAATCCCACACTGGAGCCAAATGATGAGAAATTTCACAATACCACAGTTATTTGATTAATTATATTTATTCTGTGGGATGACCGCAGCCCATAGTAACGTTAGCCCACTAGCATTAGCTACATTAACCAAACAGTGTTAACTTATCTGATGTTAATTAGTTCAAAAGTAGTGTCTTCTGAAAGCAGAAGTTTAACACTACTGTTGGAGAAGCTGAGAACTGAACTTAGGACAGCTGGCATTCAAACATGCGTGTATTTTAGGGAGATGCCACCACAGTAATGTCAACTAGTTTACTTCTGGTGCTTCCTCAGAGTCATCTATAGACACGTATCACCCTGACATGATGCTGTTACATAAATGCTTGTTTTAACACAACTGTCTGCCATTGTTTGTGTGTGCTTTTATTGACATCCTAGTGTCCCTTCATTTGCTTCTGTTACAGTGTTTGTCTCTGCTGTTCCTGCTGTACCTGTCATAGATTTATTTGTAAATGTAGCTGCACAATTTATTATATTCTTGATAAATTTAAAACAAAAAAGTTTGATGAAGCCCCCACAAAGACAGACTAATTCAAAAACTCCACTGCTGGTGTGTTTCATGTCACAGCTGTTCAGAGGCAGCGCTACCTCGGCCGGTTGGCGAGGAGCAGCAGACCGTGAAGCCTCGGTGTCATACTTTGGATCAATGGTGAGGCGGCGCGAGGACGAGGTCACGTGACCCTCCGGGAAAAAAAAGGTGACATTGGCTGATCCGCCGGCGCTGGCCAGACAGTCGGCACCAGGTCGCCCAGCTGGAGGGGGAACCGGTCTGACCTGAGGCGGGCAGCCCAGAGCTTTAAACCTGAGCTCCCAGCTAACTGGGGACTGCCTGGGCTGCCAACTCTCAGGAAGTAGCTGCTGGCTGCGAGAAATTTGCTGTAGAGTGCCAGGTGACGTCATGTGTGATCTGCTGCATCCCTCTGCTCTGTGCTGAGAGACAGCAGCGGCATCCACATCCCAGTCCCAACTCATTCAGGTAGAAACACTCTTTTACAAGTACTCAAAAGCTGACTGAAATATGAGCAGCAAGATGTACTTCAAGTATTAAAAGTAGATAGATAGATAGATAGATAGATAGATAGATAAGATTTTTCAAGTCAAGCAATCTGGGTTGTTTTTTATGTTTTTTTCCAGTTGGTTTTAAGTGGTGTACAGAGTGAGCGCTCCTCACGTCCACCCTGCTCCCCGGTACAGGCAGCTGCAGACACAGACCCAAGGTGAATCTGAGTGAGACAGATGCAGCTGCCCAGAGGAAGAAAAGCTTTGCCAGGTTAGACTCCAAGATAACGTTATCCTCTGCCTTCTTCTTAGAAGTGGTGAATTTACAGCTCACAGCAACCCTATACGATAACATTTCCGATCAGTTTTTAGCATAGTTAGCATGCTTTGGCTCAGAAGCCTAACTTGACTTGTTTACTATATTATGTGAACGTCACTGTGACCCCGAACGTCCCGCTAAACCCTGTTCAAACTCTTAAACTCTTTGTGGAAAAAAAGGGATGAATAGTCAAATATTTATACTGAACAGTCAAATCTGATTCCACTGACATAATTCTGAGTCGGGTACAGTCCTAAAATTTACTTTTTAACTGAATCTTGCTTTAATATTGGATGATTTGACCTCTTAGGGTGTTTTATTGGAAAAACAACAAAAAAACGTGAGAAGTTTAAAAGGTGAAATGTCTCATTGTGGAATGGCTAACAACTCATAGACATCTGAAACATGACCCAGTCAGACACTGCTTTTTTGCCAGTATACTACTGTATTTTAGAAGTCCATCAAATATTCTTTAAAGGTGCTGTATGTATTCCTACAGAAAGAAAGATAGTTGATTGTTGAGTCTCATTCCCAGGTTGTCAAATATAGACCCTGTGGGTTGGTAGTCAGCCTGAACAACCTGGTCTCACTCCGAAGTCGTCGAAATCCAGTGCTTGGGCAGTGACTTGCAGCATCAGACACTGATGAAAAAGCAGTCTTTTAACATCAGCATGATATGTGGCCAGTTGCTGTTGTAGTTCAATGGCACTCAACGGCGGGAAATGTAGTGGGACACGAACAAAAGTTAAGGCGACGAAAGTCCGAGTAGGGTGGGTTGGAGGTGTGGTATATGGGTAGACAAAAACCGACTTTCACCGACCTCCCCTAAGATAATAAAGCCAAACCCTGTTCTTTATTCCTTGACCTACCACGTGTTAGTTGTTGAAGGCAAAAAAAAACGTCAATTTGCTGTGTTTTGCCGGTTATTTTGAAAGAGACTGTATGTAAACAGTAAATTTCCTGTGAAAACGAAAGAAGACAATGCATGTAACAGGCTGAACTTGACACGGCGTCCCAGAACGTCAACAACCAACGCACCCAGGGTACCTTTCTGGATGTGGAAAGTCCATGACCAAACGTCGATATGTGACAAGGTCGACATGAGAATGTGTTGGCGCAAACCACCAAACCAAAGCGTCTGTCTTTGACGACCTTGGAGTGAGACTCAACAATCAACTATCTTTCTCTAGAGTTACATGCAGCACCTTTAATGTAAAATCTTAATTTGAAAAGTAGCTTGTAATTATAGCTGCCAGATAATCTACTTAACTACTAGTCTACTTAGTTACCACTGAGACACAAAAGTACTTGAATTACTTTGAGGACTGAAAATATACTTTTTTTAAACAAGTAATATTGTGACGAGTTTGCTGAGAGGCTGAATTAGAAATACAAACGGCAGCAATGGGAGTTTCACCAACATTTGTTTAATTCAGAGTTTTTAAAGGCAGAATTGTTGCGACTGGTGATTTTAATTGGACGAACTGTGGAGCCACAGTGTTCCTGTCTGTGTGATGTGAAACTAAAGGTCAGGGTAAGAAAGGAAGGGAAGCTATTGTTATGAAGACAAGTGTTATGTCCCAACAGCTACACAAAGTTTATTCTCAACCATTCGTTTGCTTTTAATTAACCCTGTGACAATGTGTTGTTCTTTGAGCAGCTCCACCTCTGAGAAATTCCTGAAGTATACTACAATCTGCACTCCCCTCCGCTGCTCCTCTGTATGCTTCTCTGGTGAGTGTTTTATTTCTGTCTGCAGTCTATTCCTGTTGCCTTTCATCCACTGTATCATCCCTCTCTTGTAAACTGACATCATGTCCAATTCCTTTTGTTCCTAATTAAAAGCATCGGGGTCTGCGGCTGCAGGTGGAAGAGGAAGTGTCCGGACCAGCCCGCCTCCACCTCCCGCCGCTGTGTCACTGTATTTCATCATGCAGAAGACTCACTCGTTTTGCTTGAGGTGAGCTGACGTTAGTCTCAGTGCAGGAGGTCAAATCGATACAGCGCTATTAAAATGGGTTAACTTCCTGACAGCTGTTTGGTGACGCCTACAAATAACACCAAACCATGAGATGTATTGCCACATGCAGTATCAGACAGTGGAGTTTAAATTAAGGCTATAAGCAAAACACATCTTACAGTATAAAGACTAAATCCTTCTGAAGACATGTCTTCATCGTATCCAGCCTCCAGTGTGGACTTTGTTAATCTCTATCAACTCCATAAAACAGTCTCATTTCTGTCAGCCCAGCCTGGTTGTATATAAACTGAGGACTGTGTGGTAGCAAACACTGATTTGGTGAAATAAAGCCAACTGCACAGATCATAAAGCTCCATTAAAAGGACTGTCAACTGGTAAACTGCACTTATAAAGCCAAACACTGAATTTAACTAAAATACTAATACAAGTTTTATGAGGTTACATTTCAAAGAGCACTCCTGGAAAAATTTCAAATCCAGACAAATCCTGTAATAATATCAAAAAAATAAATTAAAAATACATATAATTATAGAGGCTATAAGAAAATTCGCCCGCAAATCAAGGCTTTAAAATAAGATTAAATAAATTAATAAATTAAATATAATGAATATAATTATATGTAGGATATAATTATATTCTCTCCAAATTAAGTTTTCTAAAATAAATTTAAAAAAATAACAAATAAATAAGATATAATAAATATAAAAATATATAGGACACAATAAAATGTTCTTCAAGTTTTCTAAAATAAATAAATAAATAAATTATTTTTTTTTTAAATAAATAAAATATAATAAATATAACAATATATAGGCTATAATAAAGTTCTCTCCAAATCAAGATTTCTAAAATATAATAAATAAAATAATAAAATATAATAAATACAATTTAAAAGATTAATAAATAAATATATTAATTAAATATAATAAATACAACAATAGATAGGCTAAAATTAAATTCTCTGTAAATGAGGTCACTAAAATAAATAAATAAAAAATAGAAAGAACTATAACGATGTAAAGGCTATAATGAAATTCTCCCCAAATCAGTTTTTCTAAAATGAATGAATGAATTAAATAAATAAATAAAAAGGCTACAATATAATTCTCTCCAAGTTAAGTTTCTAAAATAAAAATAAATAAAATATAATAAATCTAATAATATAAAGGCTATAATAAAATTCTCCCCAGATTAAGTTTTCTTACATAAAATTTAAAAAAAGCATAGTGGAAAGCATCACTGCACTATGAGCATGTACAGAAATGACTGTCAGAAAATAGTTGCAATGCATCTGATGTCAGAAAGTGAAATTAAATTGTTCTGCTGTGTTAAGAAATATGTTTGAGGAATCAGTCACAGATCAGTGACTGACTGAAAATGCAAAATATGAATTTCTGTTTCACCCCAGAGGATGAGAGGATGAGGAGATGAGGAGATGAAGAGTGACTGACGGGCCTCATACTTGTTTTGCGGTAACACTTTCAGTCCTATTAGATATGGATGCGGTGCTGGTGATCTACAAAGCAGACTTGCAGAGCCTGAGTGGGTCTGTGTGCGCACTGAGCGCCGGGGAAACTCCAAGCAGCCCCCGAAAGAGGGCACAAAATGACCGTCGGGGTCGCGTGCACGGCTCTTACCTGTAATTGTCCCACTCCCTTCCCGCACCTTAACGCCCTCTCAAACCATCGGTGGGGCTGCTGCTACAATCCAGTGGCGTGTCTGTGATGTGGAGACATTTGGATTGGCGAGGAGAAGAAGAAAAAAAACGGGAGTGGTGCTTCGTTTTTGTCCGGATGAAATCAAACAGCCTTGTCACAATCACACACGAGTATTCGTCTTGTGGCGCGGCACCGTGGGCATCTCATCCACCGCACAGCCGAGATCCTCCCGCATCCAAAGCTCCCCTCTTTTTATTCCGTGATAGTCCAGAAACAACCCGCAGCCTGTTTGGACTCAATCAGCTTTTAATTGCGTCCTGTTGGTGCGTCTTTGGTGGCTGATGGTCACCCAGAGGATCAGACCACACACTGGAGATGAATGTATTAATTTCTCAAAGTGGGATCGATCCTGATCAATCACTTGAGTCTGCAGTCTCTGCTCCGCCGCGTCTCTCCCCAGTCTGACAGCTCAGCTCTGTGCGCACTAACTTTTATGGAGACTCCGGAGCGCACGGCGCACCGCCGCTGTACCTCCGCTGGTAACGCGTTACAGTAGTCTGATTACTCTCGGGGATTTGTGTCATATTTAGATGTGACCTGTTAATCTGGACGTCGCGACTGATCCTGAGCTTCTGATATCACCGACAAATGAATCTCAGTGTGATCAGTCATTTAATCACGCATGTCGTGATGGTCTCAAACTGCCCAGCTTCACCATCAGTATACTTCATGGCTCTTTCGTAGAACATGTGTAGAACAATAATTCACAAAATATAATCATTTAGATGACATCAAAATATTAAAGTTACTAATTTATGAAGTGAAACACAAAAAAAACTATATTTCAAAGTCTCCCTGCTGGGGCGCAATTCATGAATCACAACACGGGAATGGCAGTCAATGAGTAATACATAACTCCACAGTGATTATTTCCCTCTGAAACATCATCACCAAAAGCAATCAGTTCACAAAAGACACAAATATGACAGGATTTTTTAATCTCCCCAAAAGTCCCAGCAACATAATGAAGTGCAGCCACATTTGATCCTGTAAATGACCCTTTAAATGAGACGCATGTTTGATGAACTGTTGAACTGTGGACAGAATCACTGCTGCGCCTCTCCCACCAAAAACGACACAGTACTGCCATCATGTGGACGGTTGATGTACTATACCAAAAAAAACCCCAAAAAAACAGTTAAACATGGAGAAATGGGGGATTAATGTTCAGGTAAATATCTTCTATCTTTGTGAATTGATCACTTATCTTTTATTATGCCAGATATATGTTATAAAATCAGTGTTAGAATATTTAACATCAAAATCTGTCTTTTCATTTTCTGTGAAGTGCTACGGGAATGACTCCTAATAGCAAGAAACTTATAAAAGATAGATTTGCTTTTATAGTTTCCTTGCCTAGAACCCAGAAATGAGTTAGCATTTTAGCACTCCTAGTTCCCTCGTCTCAAAGTCAGTGGGTTCTTTGAATTACCTTTTGGGTAGATGCCTGAAATGAGGTCTGTGGTTAACAAAAGCTTTTATGTTTTGTTTAACAACGTAAAATACATCAGTATATACGCCGCTTGTAAATTTTGAAACTTTCAGGTGTCCTAAAAAAGGCGGTTGCTAACAAGTGGCTAAATAGGACTACAGAGCATCATCACAGCAAACTATGCTAAACATGGCTTTACAGCCTCCTCGTGGTGAGAATGCGACCATGGTGTAGTTCGTGTATAGCCATACATCAGTTTAACTGTTGATTGCATTTACGCATCAGAAATCATAAAAGTGGAATGTATCCTTGCGTGTTACTCAGTGCATGAGTTGACGTCATGAATCAGCCAACACTCCATTTATTTTTTATTGTCTCTGTTGCATGGCATACGCTTCAGTGATGACTGGTTTTCCAAACACTTAAAAAAAGTATATGTATTTCAACCAATTTATGCCAACTGTGAATATTCTATTTACTTAATGTGAGTAAAAAAAAAGTGGCAGAGCATCTTTCCCGTGTTGTCTGGCAGCACTACACCTATGGCCTTGACATCATATTCAGGGATAATGACAGTTAATTTAAATAAAATACAGAGCCTTACATTAGGTTTTTACTTGTGGAGATTGTATTTAGGCTTCAAAATTTATAAAAGTGGTGTTCATTTGTGAAGATTATCTTGCTGAACAAAACGTGTCAGTATCATAAATGTTTGTTTGTCACAGAGCTTATTTTCAGCAGTAATCCAAAACCCAATGGACACATCCCATTGTCTTTTTGACTAGAAAACCAGTGCAATGCTACTTCTGTGTCGGCCCACAAATAATATCATCCGTGGAGCACTCTGTTGGCTTCAAAGCCCAGTGCATTTCCTGGGGGCCTGAGCAGGATGTTTGGAGGGGCGGATATTTTTATGTGCACAACTTTTTTTTTTTAACTCATTGGCCCTATTTGGTTGGGTTAGTTAGATTTAGGCAAATACACATTTTTAATACAACTTTAGGCACTAGAATAATGAAATCAGTTGCTTTTTTGGTCCACTAGATGGTGCTGATATATTTATTTCCAGGTGAGGTCAGCAAAGGTCAAAGTCAGCAGCTTTTGGCAGGAAGTTTATCAAAACAAGGACAGCTTTACAGCCTCATTGTGGTGGCAGCAGTGAAGTTTTGTAACCATGGTGTAGTCTGTTTATAGCTATACTTGAGCTTTTTACCTCTGGTGACTGCATTTATACTTGGGAAATCACAAAAGTGGTGTTAATTTGTGGAAATTATCTTGCTCAACAAAACTTTTTTTTTTTTTTTTTAATAAAATTTTGTTTACCACAGAGCTTATTTTCTGTAATAATCCAAAATCAATGGAAATCCCATTAGATTTTTTACAAGTAAGCTGTCGCTAAACTTTATAGCAGTCCAATCACATGCAAGGGATTTGATTTAAATCCCTCTTGTAAATGTACACCACATGGATGTGTAAAGAGAACTGGATGCAGCACCACGTTCACTCCAATTAAAGTTACTCAGGGAAGCGTGAAGCTCGAGAAAAAGTTCAATTTCCACAGTATGAAATTATCTACATCTTCAGCATCGTTGGGCCCATACAGCAAGCTCACTAGAGACTTAAGGTGGCCAAATGGCTAACTTCTTGTTTAACCCTTGGCTGATTTGAATGGGGATAAAATGATTTAATCGTGTGGCTCTTCTAGACTTAACAAATATTACCAGACTGAATTTATTGACTGCTTATTATTGCCATGGAAGTCTATGGAAAAATTCTTTATGTGCCCGATAGCATCACGTAATGGACATGGGTGTTAAAATTCCACTTTTGGCCTCAAAGCCCGGCACACATCCTAGGGGCTTGGTACACCCTCCAATATTCTCTTCACTGGGAACTTCATCACAGTAGAGAAGCTAAAGACAAGGCCCCCAGGAAGTGTGCCGTGTTTTGACACCAATTTTCATGTGGTCAAACAGTGTAATTACATCTGTCATGTGATGCTGTGTGGCCCACCAATGACTTTTCCCCATTGACTTACATGGTGAAAGAAATGTCTGTAAATAAGGAGGGTCATTTTTTTGAGCGTCACAGCTCACACGAAGCTGGCAGAAGTCTCTAGTGCGAGTGTTCTATGAGCCACACAATGTGGAAGCAGTGTCGATCATCCGGGTAATTGTTTTGGCATCATGAACCACTGAGCAACTTTCATAGGAACAAAGACGATCATCCAGTTCTTTTTATACGTCCATGCTAAAGATGCTCTAACTACTGTTTCACTGTGACTTTAAGTACACTTCACACTAAGAGAACACAGTTTGATCAAAAACGTTTATTCCATGGTGAAAACATTCCTGTCACACACGCACACACCCAATTTTCTTTTTACAAACAGCAAAATTCCATAGTATAATGCATGTGAGGAGACAATAAAATCATCAAAGTGACATAAGCACAAAGTGATTGGCTTTTGCAGTTCATTCAGAAATAAAAGGGAACACTCAGAAAGTCTTTTCAGCTCTCCGTTGGGAAAATCACAACAACTGATGCTGTTTTTTTCTTTTGACTTTAGGAAAACGTCATCCTAAGGCAATCTTAAGGAGAGAGTTCGTGTCTGTCTGTGTGGGACTGATACAGACGAATGTCCCCGCGCTCCAGATTTTAACGTTGATTGTTCAGGCTGCTTCTGAAAGGCATCAGCGGCTGTAGTAGTAGAAGTAAGTAGTTCATGGACTCGTTTTTCCCAGAGTTCCTCAGCATTCCTCTTTGATGTAGATTTGTTCGTCTGTGTCCGACTCCAGGTGCTCCAGCCGGTCCGTCTGTCCGTTCATTATCTCGTCGGGAGTTTTCATGAACCTGATGAACGCCACACAGACGAGGAAACAAGGTCAGTCATTTTATTACAGAATGGATTAAAACATGATCAATAAATTATGAATAGCCTGACTGAAACAAAGGTGTACTTAAAAGTCCAGTGTGAGGATTTACCAGGATCTAGAGGCAGAAATAGAATACAATATTCATAACTATTGTAGATTTCCAATAAGTGATGCATAGCTTGACGCACAAATCATGCCCTTATTCTTAATCCACACGCAAAAACTCCACCGGACCACTCGATAAAGTTTAACAGTTTACTTGAACTCAAAGATTTTACAGAAACAATCATCCATTTTCAAATCTAAAATTATCCAGACAACAACAATAACAGGACCCTTATCTTAAAAGTTAGAAATGTAAAACTGCATTTAGGCCCCTACAACTATTGTTTCACAAAGCATCATTGTGTTTAAACTTTACCTTAGAATGAGCAGTTTATAACTACATACAGAGCAGATTCTCTTCCACCATGTCGTTCTACAGTAGCCCGGACCAAACAAACCAAACACTGGCTATAGAGCGGGCCCTTTTGCATTTTAACGTTACCTGTAGGCCACTGTATGTACTATTACTTATGCTTAGAAAGGAACAGCGAGCTGAGGGGTATAAAGTTGGTTGCAATCTGCAATCTCACCACTAGATGCCACTAAATCCCTCACACTGCTCCTTTCAGTCGATTTACCTGAATAGAAGTCTTTGCCCAGGCTCTTTCCTGATAATGTTCAGTTTGTAGTAGTGTCTCAGTGCTCGCGACATCTTCTCGTACGTCATATTGGTCCTGTTCTGTAGAGGTAAAAGAACAAATGTGTCATTATTAATAACAACAATAATAATAATGTGATGCTACTGATCTACGAAATGAGGCATTTTCTACATCTTTAAATGCTCTCTGCCTTTGAAATCCGCACCAGTTATTGGTTACTTCACAAGCTGAAAACACAACCTCTGCCTCTTCACATGGGACCAGTATTACCTAGGGACGTCTAGTAATTTGTAATAATGACAGTGATCGTCTGATCTTAATGCCGTGTGAATCTCTAATTTGTCATGTTAAATTCCATGGCAAATTACCTACAGTATTTCACCAAACACAGACGACATGTTATAATAGTAGTCCTGTGCAAATCTGCATCTCAGTGATTTGGGCTCATATTATTATTGTCACACAGATGAGCGCAGCATTTCACATAGTTAGTGAGACTGAGAATAAACAATTTAATTCGCTGTGTTGCTCAAAGGCTACCATTGACGCTACCTGCAACTTTTAAGGTGGAACGTTACCCTGCATGTTTCTCAGTGCATGAGTTGACGTCATGAATCAGTCCACTTGTTTTTGTTGTCTCTCTTGCATGACACACACGTCAGTGATGGTTGAAATGCATACCAATTTTTTAAGCGCTTGAAAATCCAATCGATTTGTGCCAGCTACGAACAGTTTATTTCCTCACTGTACTGCGCTCTTCGGCAGCATTACACCTATGATCTTGACATCATATCCACGGACAGTGTCAGAAATATGGGATGACCGTTTCTGATTTTATTTTATTGTTTTGACTGTTATATTCTCATGTTTAGGAGATAAATATTATTTGTAATAGATTAGATTTGATTTTATACACTTTAAAATAACATCTTGTGTGCTAATTAAATTCACATACAGTGTGACTGCTGTTATGACCTAGGTCTATCAGCCAACCAATAGATTTGCAGCACGAAATGACGCACTGGCGCTAAACCCAAACAAACAGACGGATGGCAGCTCACCATGGAGGCAAATGTGCTAAAAGAAATGTGTAGTTTCTAAATGACTTGAGGTCCCTTGGTAATAGTGGTCCTGTGTGATTAGGGCTATAGAATCTACCACCTCATAAAGCTGTAATGGCAAATGTGTTAGCTAACAATTGCCTCTTTAGAAATCCAGCTAACAAAGTTTGTGGACCGTAAAGCCAAAGCAATTTCTTAACTCTGGCTGAGGGGCTTTGTAGAGCTGAGGGGGATTGCAAAGTTGGGTCAAACACCTTTTTATTTTACATAGTTAATTATGCTATTGTTTATATAAAAGTACTGATTAACGCAGCTTTAAACTGTTCTAGAAATGACTATGACAGTTTTTTCTCTGGCCTAGATCTGGGACAGCCCTGCTCACTGACTCTTCGCCGCCTGCAGTCTGATCACAGACAGCACTAACTGCACACCTGGAGCCTGCTGAGTGTGTGTTTACCTTGTGATTACCCCAGAGCCTGGCCAGGCCGTTGGGGTCCATGATGCGGAAGACTTTGGTCTCTGTATCCTCCCAGCGGATGTAGTTCTCGTACCTGCTGTCTGACAGGAGCTGGTAGACGTAGTCCCACAGCAGCCTGCAGTCTGCGAGGAAACGACAGGGAAACAGAGTTTGCATGAGAGGTGCGGAGGTATTTGCTCTGTGTGATGCTGCGTGTCAGAGAATACCGAAGGGACAGGATAAATAACTCATATCCTGTAAGCATGTGCTCACATGGCGACTAAAGGAACAGGTGTAATGCCAATGCTCAACGCTATGAGGATTAAATCTCACCTGCTATCCGTCCGATGGGCATTTGCTGCTCTTCTGGAGGAGACACGGGCATGATGACGTGGTTCCTGTAGAGTGCCTCCTCCTGCTGCTGCTGCTGCTGCTGCTGCTGCAGGAGATGCTGCTGCTGTTGCTGCTGATGCTGGGACAGTGGTATCTGATGGTGGTGTCCCTGAACCTTCCCCTCACGCCCATTCTCGAGCGTTGCCTGAGACGGGGGTCCAACTCGGCTGTGCCTGAAGTCCATGGCGGCACCCCCGCCGCCCCTGCTCGGACTGAGGAGCAGGGGATTCATGATGGCGCTGGGCATGAGCTGGATGACGCGAGGAGGTCCCGCCTCCTGGCTCCCAGGGCTGCCCGGGCAGGGGGCTTCTCGCGGCGTTGCGCAGCGGCCGTTGGGTGCGGCTGGGGACACCGACAGAGGGTACATTTCCTCGGGCATGTGGTGGTTGCTGTCTGGCAGCTGGGAGAAGGTCTGGAGGTGGTCTTCATTGGCTACGCGGGGGTGGTTGGGCTCCGGAGGGGATCGTCTGGTGGTCGGATGGTGGGGGGAGCGGGAGCGGTGCCGCAGCTCGATGGTTGGTGGATGCTGGGGGAGTGGCTCTGTACCACGTGGGGCCCGCCGTACCGTTTCTGGGGTTACAAAACATACAATTTGTGATAAATATCTACAGCCATGTTACACAATATAAATATAATATTTATAAATATAAAGCTTACTTTTATTCTTCAAGCAGAAAGTTTAACAACTGATGGTTTCAGTTTCTCAAACATATTTTATATTTACTGAATATCTTTGAATTTTGGCAGACTCAAAAGCAACTGGAGGACGTCACTCTCAGCTCTGAGAAATCGTGATGGCTGTTTTTCTCTTTTTCTGTCTCAAGCTTTTGGGTGTACACCATTTCCTGTGTTTGCCATACAGGTGTGCCAACAGTTAACACATATTGGCTGTCAGTAGCAGAGTGAGCAAACACTGTGACCAACTGTGTCCTCATAAATACCAGAGATGAATCAACACCTCTCATTGTGACAACGTAAATTTAATAGTATGAGCTCGATAAAGGTGTTACTGACTTCAAGACTGTGGTGCTGGCTGACATTAGAATCCAACAGAGTGTCTACAGGTAGAAACAAGTTAGATTCAAGAGGTTTAAAGACATTTTTAGTTTATGCTTCAGAGAGGATTTACAGCTGCTTTTGATGGAGATCACAATTGAATTGATGGTTTGACAAAAACAAACTGTCGCTAAATTTGACTAAGACCAACATGATATTTAGAAATAAAAAAAAATTGATATGCAAGTGCAAATTAAGATTATTATAATAATGTTGATATAGAAAAAGTGTTATGGGAGTGATACTGGATCACAAAATCAGATGGAAACCTCAAATAAGTAACCTTCAGTCAAAGCTGGCGAGGAGCACTGCAGTTACGGGAAAATCAAGATATACTGGACCATAGATCACTATATATCATCTACTGCTCACTCATTTTACTGTATCTTAATTACTGTGTGGAGGTCTGAGGTAACACATATAAAAGCTATTTATACACATTACACATTACACATATTACAAAAAGAAAAGCCATTAGGATTGTACAGAATTTTGGATATAGGCAACACACCAACACAGTGTTTTTAAAGTCACATGCTTTGAAACTCGGGGACTTGGCTAAATTTAAAACAGTACAAATAATGTACAAGTAAGAAATAATCTACTTTTGGGCAATATGTTTGACAGGAAGAGGGGATAATTTCAGGAAAATTAAAATGTGTTTGTTCAACTAACAAAAGTCTGTGTATTTTCATTATGTTTCGCATCGCGCCAACAGCAGAAACATGACTTAAAAAACATAGATGGTGCAGCCGAACTGAATTTAAAACAACTGAACTTCTTAAGGCTTCTTAGGACCTGCGGCCACCCTGTCTAATCTAGGCTGTCCATGTGTTTTTTTTAATCACTCATTGCACATGTATATCAAGTTCCACTAAGTCTTTCTTTACTTGCATCTGTTAAAAGCAGCAGAGGATAATAATCTCACCAGAAAAAGTGAGTAACAGAGCACAAAATGAAGTGGTGATTGGTAGCTTTTCATGTCATTAGTATCCAAAAATCTGTCCCCTCTGCCAGTAAATTAAAAAAGTGCCCGTCACTGGCTTCTTGGTGTTTCTGGCTTTACACATACAGACCACTAGGTGTCACTGATATCCTGCAGTTAGGCCGAGACTGCTGCTTATTGTTAAAGAGTTTCAGTCAAAGTTATCTGGTTTGTGTTGGACATGAAGTGATGGGAACTTTGATTCCTTTATTCACGTACAATGGATGGAAAAAAAACACATGTACAAAGTAGCACTCGCAACAAGGAAGACAGTGGTGATAAATACCAGCAGACCTGCGGCGAGCCAATGGAGCAGTTTGTGGTGCTTGGCAGCTTGTTTAAATAAAGCAGCGTTTCCTTGTGGAGCAGGTTTTACAGCCAACATGTGATCTTACTCCTCAGATCAGAGCCAAAAAACACTCTCAGGTATTTCAACTCCCCGCCCCCTGAATTTAAATGTTTGATTTAACTCTTTTACTTATATACTTATATACAATTCCTTTTTTTTTTGTAGAAATGCTTAATGATCCTCATCAGATATTTTTTACATGCTTACAGTCCACCTCAGCTGTCGTTAGCAGCCATACTTAGCTACAATTTTACATTTACATTATTTTAAACAGCGATTTTAAGATCTATAATTCTTAGTTCGGAAAAATACTCTATATGCTGTACTAAAAAAGTGTCTGCTATGATAGTGAAGTTAGCCTACTATATATAACCAGTTAAAGTAAAAGCCAATCCTAGATTCTTGTTTGGCGTTTCCCCTCTTTATATTTGCGTTTTTTCAGTCTGGCAGCTGGTCGCTACCTTTTTAGAAAGCCCCGACCTCACCTGAGCGCTGTGAGGGTACACGGCCATCAACACCACTAACACAGAGAATAAGAAACTACAGGCAGAGTGCAGTGTCTCAGCAGGAAAATACACCACCACACACTTCTAGTGGGTCATAAGTGATGGTTGAGAGGGATTACTTCTGTGTGAGACTATAAAGTGCCCTACTTAGTATATCTTAAAGTCACTTAACTAATTTAGAGAGACACTGACCTTTACATTTTATAGTTCATGATCATTAGTGTAAATTAAGGATGGGTGCATGAAATCTATAAAGCTTTGAAGGTTTCTTTCTCCTTGTGCTGAAAAAGAATCAAAGCTTTGGGGCTTCAAACGCAGCAAGCACAGTGACGTCTGGTGGTTTTCTAAACATAAAGCTGCCCTTCACCACAACACCTCTAGATTATTAGCATCTGTGGTCTCGTGTATTTAAAAAAAGTTCGACAAGCCTCTGTGTTATGAAATCTGTAATACTTTTACTTTTGGAGTAATTTATATCTTGCTGTAAGACAAATATTATTGATAATTAATTGAATATATCGGAATAGGTCTGGGAGAATTAATTATTGTACAGCTTTATACTGATAAGGAGCTATCAGTAGATCAAATCATTATGTTGTTTTCAGTTTCCATGCTGCCTTTAGTAGCCTGTTTTTTTATATCTGTCTACTAATATGATTATTACGTTTATTTGATACTTATATGTTGGAAATAAACTGCTACTGACTAACTCATTAAGATGGTATTGTGTAATGTTACAGTAAAATAAAAATTAATTAATTTCTTTACCTTATTAAATGGTGTTGGGTGTAAGTGTACTTATACTTAATATTATGTCTTTATAGTGTACACCCACATGGCTGTATTTCAGTTATTATCCTTATTACAGTAACATATTTTAGCTGCAAAATGGTCAAAGCGAATGAAGTGCTTTCCGAAGCACCAGTGATGTCTGAAGTGGTAGACGTCATCAGCATCATGCAATATGGTTTTCCCCCATTTGACACAAGCTGTGACAATATATTGAAACTGAGGTTCACAGGAGTGAAACAAGCGTCAGAGCTTCAGTATCATTGGTTCATCTCTAGTGTCAATATTTCTTGATCATAGATGCTACAGTTTTGGCCATTGTATGCATGTATAATTGATTACAGGCTTTTTTAAACATTCTCTTTATGTTATATTCCTCCTTTGTTCACATTGCTTCAAGATACAGCTGAATCAGTCTCACAGATAGTGGGTCCCAGCCAACATCTGTATATGGGGCCCATGTGGGTAGCAAATGGGCTGAAAAATGAGCTCTATATGGGATTGTCCAAGGGTTCCATATTGGCCCCATGACACTTGCCCATGTGGGTGCCAGCAAGACCCATGTGGGGCACACTTGGGCAACCCACCCATATGTGCAATCTGCATGGGGCCAATATGGAACATGTGAACAATCCAATATAGGGCCCATTTTTTCAGCCCATTTACTACCCACATGGGCCTCACATGCAAGTGTTGGCTGGGGAAAGAAGCCGAACGTGTGGGGAGTCACTTATTTTAAGCAAAACTGAGATGATAGCATGTGATAATATTAACAAAATTATATCATGGAAGAATATAATAACATACGATGAAGTATTTGCCTTCTAAAATGAATAGCATTCACTGGACTGACCTTCAAGCTTCAGGTGCTGCACCGCGCTCTCAGGCAGCGAGTGGAAGGAGTTCCCAGGGAAGTAGGCAGACGGGTAAAACACATGGGGCTTCCTCTGCTTCAGGATGTGCTGCAGCAGTTCATACAGGACGTCCCCTGCACAAATGCAAAAAGGTCAGAGTTCAGCATAGGTAGCATTTCACAGCTGCGTAAAAAGGGAAATTAGCGTTGCCGTCATCCACAGAATCAGTTTCACCGTCTTCTTCCCTTTGCTTTCCAGGCAGCGGGGAGGCTTGAGCAATAATGGAAGAGTCTCTGAGGGGGCAGATGCCACGTTAGAGTGACTATTTCAGGACAGGGCGTCATTGCAACTCCAGACTTGTTTTGTTATTGCAAAAACATTTCCTAGATGTTCAACACCTAATCTGGTGAACCAGTGAGGACACACTATGAAGCTTAAAGGGACGGTTCACCTGAAAATCAAAAATCCATATCTTTCCTCTTACCTGTAGTGCTGTTTATCGGTCTAGATTGTTTTGGTGTGAGTTGCTGAGTGTTGGAGTTATCAGCTGTAGAGATGTCTGCCTTCTCTCCAATATAATGGAACTAGATGGCACTCAGCTTGTGGTGCTAAAGCGCCAAAAAATACATTTAGAAAACTCAACAGCAATGTCTCTTTCCAGAAATCACGAGCCAGTTACTCAAGATAATTCACAGACTTGTTGGGAGCAGTTTCATGTAGGAACTATTTTCTTTCTACCAAACTACACCTGCCAAACCTATCACTGTGCAGAAGGAAGTGTGTATCTACTCATGGACAAGAGGCTCCTACTTGTGACAGTGCGAAATGTAAATATTAACCGCGTCCATCTCAGCTAGCTCAGTAGCAATAAATTTTACTCTTTTAAAAGTATTGCATTACCTTTCTTAATTACTTCCTGTAGACTAATTTATTACCCTACTTGTTACATTACTTCTGTGTTACTCTGCAACATCACCTGAGTTTGTTGTCACATTGTCATGTGATAATTAATACTAAGTACTAAAACATTAAACCTTCCACATGCCCACCTATCAGCACAAAACGAGGCTCAGGAGAATTAAGACAGCACTGCAGAAGGCAATTTCTGCCTCATATAAAACTTAAATTATATATGAATAGCCTGGCCTTCCTCACAGCATAGTACAAATGCCTATCGCCTAAAAATGATGTAGGCCTAATTAATAAAAGAGTGTGGCCTTCCCAACACCATTAAATGATGATGTAAAAGGAAAAAAATGCGGAAAAACTGCATATGAGTGGCATTTAACGGGCCAAACACACTCACTTGAGAGGCTAGCTCACCACGTCATGGCCTCATAGTGGACTAGTCCAGTTTATTTCACTTATTTATCACTAAAGCAGCACTGACACCTCATGAGGAGGTGATCCTCAAACTGTTTTTCAGACAATCTGTTCCTCTCGGAGACACCACCAGACTGTACAGGCTGAAAAACCTCTTCACGGTGCAATTGACGGTGTCTCTGCGTTTGATGTTTTTTTTCCTATTTGCCCATTACACAGATTCTCAAAGAACTTGTGTAACACAAGTGACAATGAGTTTGATTAACAAATGTAATGTGATAACTGAATTTATAACAATTATGTTAATTTACAGACAATGTAATTTATGTAATTTATGTAATTTATGTAATATGCTGGCAGCAATACGGCTGGTGGGTATAGTTCGGTAGAAAGAAAATAGTTCCTACATGAAACTGCTCACAACAAGGTCTGTGGATTATCTTGAGTAACCAGGTCATGATTTCTGTAAAGAAACATTGCTGTTGAGTTTTCCAAATTTATTTTTTGCATCTTAGAGCACCACAAGCCGAGTGCCTTCTAGTTCCATTATATTGGATAGAAGGCAGACATCTCTACGGCTGATATCTCCAACACTCTGCAACTCACACCAAAAAAATCTAGCCTGATAAAAAGCACTACAGGTAAGAGGAGAAATATGTAGTTTTGATTTTTGGGTGGACTGTCCCTTTAAGACTGTGTTTCTGCATCAGGCATTGCAGGTTATTAAGTGGACACCACGAGCTGTTGATACAAGTAAATGGGCCGTAGCTCTATATGACCCTGGTATTCTCCTCTAAGTGGTTCTGCAGTGGTGGCGACACCAGGCACAGAGCCTGAGCAGGAAGTTCACTGAATGATTAACAGCTGTTTGTTTTGCCTCAACACCCCACAATACCGGCTCCTCTCCCGGCGTGACAAAACATTTACATGGCTAACAACATAACTCCGAGTGCAGCGACCGTGATGTTAACAAAGACTGCCATCACACATTACCTGAAAGATGTTTTTAAAAGGATTACCATAACAAGGAAATGATTCTCATAAAGGAAGTCATGATGAACACGCGCACACCCCTTTCAGTTCTCACTTTCTGGTCCTGTGGCGTTGAGTTGCACTGTGGGGAAAATTCCCGCTTCCTGGTGCTTTCAATTTCTGATTCTGGATTTTAGATGCTACTTTTAAACACAGTTTGACTAAAACCTGCACATAAAATAATATGTTTGGCTTTATAAACTGGGAAAATAAAGAAAGAGGACAACGTGTCATCTTACAGTCACAGCTGATACATTAAACACCTTTTTCTGACTTTACGTTTTTCCCATTAAAGATTTTCAAGTCTAAACATGTAGCTGTACTGTAGCTCCACAGACTGTGCAGCTTATTGTGGGACGTGAGGTTAAGACATTCCAGGAAAAGAGAATTATTCTTAGAGCTTCTACAAAGGAAAATATGGCACACAGCAGGGACTGATGGGAACTGCACCCTTACAGTCCCCTAAAGGAGGAAACAGACACATCACAAGCCAAGGCATTTGCTCTGTTCCCTAAAATGACGTTGCCACTGATGTCACTGACAACGGGGCCAAAACAACCACCGATATTAAAATGTAATCAGTCGCTGTCAGCTTTATCTCCCCACACCCTGTGTTTTAGTTTTAGGAACACAAAAACATTTCAAACATGTACAGTTGCTGATGCATGGAGCCATTTTGCAACAACATGATGTCAGTGTCACACAGACAAGTGAAGACAACTAGTAAAAAACCTGCGATGATGAATCACATTTTCCTTTTTTTTTTTTTTTTTCCCCAGACCTCAATTTCTTAACAGGATGTGAAAACAAGCTTGACAACAGCTGTCAGCTGGGCCACGTCTCTCTATAACTCAGATCATTCCTCACAACATGTAATAATATTTAAAGGGGCACATTAGAGTCTCTGATTGTAGGAAATATGTACTCAACTGAACTTAGCACCCTTTACCTGCTTCCTGTTCAGCTGTATGCAGGATTAAAAATGACTTATTCAATGAATCAACGTTTAAATCAAACGCATAAGTATAGGTTTTAACACCTAATTACTGTATGTGTTAAATAAATACATAAATTAAATTTTTTTTAAAATAACTACATGATTAAATAAATAATGTTTGTGGTCAGTTGCAAAAAAAAAAAGTATTAAAAAATTTCTACATTTTTACAACTCAAATTATTTTATGTTTTCCTCCATTAGGGCTGCACAATAAATTGAATTATTATCAAAACTGCAATATGACCAAGTGGAATATCCAAATCACAGGAGCTGCAAATTTTGGAAAAGGTGCGTTATTAATGTAACACTGATACTACAGAGACGTCCCAGTCTACAAATCATATTCCAGATGTAAGAGAACATGCTTGTTTGGTACAGACCCCAGTAAAAAAAAATAAAATAAAAATAAATAAATAGATAAATAAATTAATAAAATTAAATTTAAAAAATCATTATTTTTATATACATATTTAAAATCTATAAAAATGTTAAATATTTTTAAATTTAAGTATTAGTTCCTATTATTTAATATATATACAGTGGTGGAAAAAAGTTTTCGGACACCCCATGCATTTGTGAAATATTGCATTAAGAATCACTCTTAGGTCTTCAAGTGCAATTTCTTTTAGTACAGTCACAGCCAAAATACTAAATAAATCCAAAAAAGCCATTAAAAACTTAAAATTGATTGGTTCCATAAAAATACATAAGAAATCTTGAGTATTGGGTCATTTTGGTACCAGTGATGAAGGTCGTTCTTTTTATTAAAAGACACAATTTTTGTTGCCAAGCTTCATGTCTACATAAAGCCAGCACATTTGAAAGTTCTTCAGACACAAAAATGGCTAAAACAAGGAACCTAACGCAGGAAACACACCTGAAGATAAAGATTCTCAGCCAGGAAGGGTACAGGTGCCGCCAGATAGCCAGGAAGTGCAGATGCAGTCCTTCAGCAGTTGGATACACTCTGCAGAAATACAGACGAACCAACAGCTTGGAAGACAAACCAAGATCTGGGCGTCCAAGGGTTTCTTCAGCAAGAAATGACCGCATCCTGATCCGCATGTGCAGGCAAAACCGCCGAATGACATCACAGGAGCTTCAGCAGCAGTGGTCAAACCAAACTGGTGTCCAGTGTTCCACCCGCACTGTACGTGGCCGACTTTTAGATCATGGCTTAAGGTCCTACAAGGCTATCAAGAAGCCCCTGATCAATGAGAGACAGAGGTTAGCCCTGCGTCGTTGGGCCCAGGCACACAAGAACTGGACAGCCAGGAATTGGAAGAAGATTTTGTGGTCAGATGAGTCCAGTTTCCAGCTTTATCTTCGTCCTACTAATGTGAGGGTACGCAGAAGGCCAGGCGAAGCATTATCTCCAGCATGTACAGTACCTACTGTCAAGCATGGTGGAGGCAGTATCATGGTTTGGGGATGCATGAGTGCTGCTGGTGTTGGTCATCTCACTGTCTGTGATGGCACATTGAACTCTACCAAGTATTGTACCATTCTCGAAACCCACATGCTCCCTTCTGCGCGTGCACTGTTCCGTCGAGGTAAAAACTGGATGTTTCAACAAGATAATGCCCCTTGCAACACATCCAAGGCCAGTAGAACTTAGCTGCAGGAGCACAGTATCCAGGTCTTAGAGTGGCCAGCTCAATCCCCGGACATGAGCCCCATTGAAAATCTGTGGTGGATTATCAAAAGGTCTGTTTCAAAGTATAAACCAAAGAATTTAGAAGAATTAAAAGCAGTAATTCAAGAAGAATGGGACAAGATTACCCCTCAACAGTGTGAAAGGCTCGTGGGGAACATGCCAGCCAGGATTAGAGCTCTACTACGTGCCAACGGCAGGACTACTAAATATTAATTTGATGATGTGATGGTTTATTTATTTTTTGTTCAGTTTTGAACACATTCTGTTATTTGTTGACTTTGATACCGACAATGTTGAGAACTGACATATTGAAACTGTCAAGAATTTAGTTTTGTTAGTTTGTCTTGTAAACAATAAACAAAAAAATATAATTTGTATTTGTTTGTATCTGTCTAATGCAGCCACACCTTTTGAAACACAAGAAAGATTTTTCCACAAATATTTCATGATTATATTTGAGATTGTGTAAAATTTTAAGGGTGTCCGAGAACTTTTTTCCACCACTGTATATATAAAAAATATGAAAATGGTAAAAAAAAAATACCGTTAACACTAAAATTATGACTCATATCACGATCACAATATTTGTGAAAATAATCACCTAATTTTTTTTTGTTGTTGTTGTTTTTGGGAAAGTGTGCAGCCCGATAAAGACCCTGCAGCTAGTTAGGGCTGCAACTAACGATTATTTTAATTGCCAATTCATCTGTTGATTTTTGTTTTGTTTTGTTTTGTTCTGTTTTTATTTTTTTTTATCAATTGGTTGTTTAGTCCAGAAAATGGTGAAAAATGTTAATGACTGTTTCCAAAGCCCAAAACCACATTTGAAAATGTCTCCACAACCAAGGAATACTTAGTTTACTGTCACAGAGGTGTAAAGAAACCAGAAAATATTCACATTTAAGAAGCTAGAACCAGAGAATTTTGACTTTTTTTCCTTAAGAAATTACTTAAACCGATTAAACGATTATCAACCTGAGTTGGCAATCTGTTTAATAACTGACAACATATTGATTAATCATTGCAGCTCTCCAGCTGACTAACATCAATGGCAGCAAAAAGCACACTATCAAGGCAGCTGACTCGACCCTGTGACCAATTATGTTATATCTCCATGTCTTACATTGTTAACATAAAGACACAGAAATACATAAAACACATAAATAAGATAGAAATGTAGAACCATATTATGAATTATTAATTCCCTGATTAATTAGCAACAGTGATTCATGTGGTCATTTAATTATTTATACATTCGGTTCAGCTTTCATTTGTTTATTCTTTCCTTTGTCGAACATTTTTTTCTGTATTTATTTCAGCATTTTTAGTCCTTCATACAACTCCAACACTTTTCTGGACTTAAAATGACCTGTGGTTACAATGTCATATTTTTCCCAGGCTGTGTAGGGTTGATCCTGTGTCTTATCTTTATATTTCACAACCTTGACAGCTCATTTCATCCCACTGCTGTGACTATCACCCTGACACACACAGCACTGACTCCAGCCCTGACAGACTGTGTGAACTGTAACATATCCAGGTCAAACTGTGAGACACTGAATCCTGTTTAATTTAAAAAAAAACAGAAATCCGTTGACTTTTTTTGCATTATATTCATTTGCCTGGCCGCTAGCGTTGCCGGGGCGACAGTTGAGGTTGGTTTGTACTTCCTGCTCAACCGTCCCCTACTTCCTCCCCCTGCAACCTCGCTGTAACAGCTGCCTCCTTCCACTGTCGCCTGACACCTCCTTCCCTCCTCTGCACTTTATTGATTTTATGAAGGGTGTAGTTTTGCTGTAAACACATTGATTTTAAAGCTACATTGGCGCAGGTTTTCATGGACAAATAAACTCTAATGTTGGGCCAAACCACAAAGGGCAACAGCTGATCAAGACTTATGGTGCTACATTTTGTTGTGAGTGAACATGATCGTGGATGTTGATTTATTACAAGTTACTCTCATCTGTGAGGGTCCCAAACTGTGCATTTACAGTTTTATTTTAGTCCTATCAGTCAATTTGTGACAGCTAATGTCACTTTTTCCCTCAGAGAAGGGAATGTATTTATAATAGCAACAATTTTCCATGATTTTTCTGCACCTAGTCAGAGTGTTTCCATGATCTAAAACTGCTATTTCGTCCTAGTTGGTAAATCCTGTTTTCCAGTCTGGGTCCTGCTCCAGTTGGACTAAAGGAACCAACTAATGCAATCAATGAAAGTGACTCATTTGAAAAACTCGTCTCCAGTTTTCCCACTTCAGAATACACCTCCAGTATAACAAAGAAATTCACAAAGAGGTGGAAAGAAGACAAGTACCGGAGTGGGGGGATCGGTAGCGGAAGTCCTCCTTGGTGAGCAGCAGCAGGGCTTTGCCGTTCATTTGGAAAGAGCCGCTGGTGATCGGCCGCAGGGCAAACTCCTTCTCGGCCCATCGCAGCCACTGGGCCACGTCCTCCCTGCTCCAAAACACTGGCTGCAAACCTGGAGGTGGAAGGATTTGGGGAGAGGGGAAAAGAAACATGAGTTGAGACCAGGGTTTGGTAAAGAGGCAACAAAGTGGAGGTGATGTGGGGATAGGAAGGAAGAGAAGAAGGATGAGCTCAGTGGAGAAGATGCAGAAGGATGGGGGGTTGGGGGCAAGGAAGGAAGAAAAGAAGGAAAGGCAGGAAGGAGGGGAGGGTGAAGGGGAGTGGGGGGGGGGGGGGGGGGGGGGGGGGGGGGGGGGGGGGGGGGGGGGGGGGGGGGGGGGGGGGGGGGGAGGGGGGGGGGGGGGGGGGGGGGGGGGGGAGAGGAAGGAAGGAGGCAAAGGCAGAGGCAGTAAAAAGGATATTGAGGAAGTGGAGATAAAAGCCAAAAGGAGGGAGTGATTACGGGAACGGCAGCAGAGATAAAGAAAAAAAAGATGAAGGAGGAGACAGAGTCAGAAAGAGAGAGGAGGTTAGAATAAAAGACTAGAAGATGATAGGTTAAGGGGAAGAATACAGAATGAATCACGAGGATAAAAAAAGGGGGGGGTATATGAGAAAAACGGTCGGACTGTTATTTTATTTGATCCGTTATGATCTGCGCTGCTCTTTTCTGAACCCCAGACAGGCACATCAGAGGACGGACAGTTTATTAGTTTGTGTATAAACGGACAGGGACACATGGAGGGAGAGCGGAGCAGAGGAAACAGGAATGACAGTGTCTTTTTTTTCCCCTCTCTCTCTCTCGCTCTCTCCCTCACACTCTGAGATGTTTCTTTCACTGCCGTGGGAACAGGAGTGTAAAACATCTGCACTGGTGACCAACAAGCATTTACAGGCAGCGGGAAAGAATAGACAGACTGTGAAAATGTGTTGTGAGTTCTGTTGTAAAAACATTTCTGGCATAATGACATCCTGGACAAAATCTGAAATAAAACTGAGAAAGCAGTCACACTTAAATTCCTTCATAAATCATAGTTTACACAGAAAGCAACACAATTTGACACCAGCAGCAACCCAACGGCAATCTCCTGGGCTGAAAAATGAAGCCAACACGCACATGCCAATAACTGCAGTTCCTCTAATGGCCACTTGAGGCTGGCGCCAAGTGTGAGTCAATCCCCACAGACCCCCATGATTAAATATTCAGTTTTAAAGCAGAAATAATCATGTTTACAGCCTGAAATGTATGCATATTAAGGGCATGGCCACTTTAAGAGTGACACTACTACTACGACAACGTTATTTAGGGATCGTGACTATGGTGTACAGACGGAGCCGTAGCAGTCTCTATTTCAGTGTAAACCAAGATGGAGCAGGGACCACCTACTATATATGTTGTATAAAATTGAGTTGCATATTGAACTGAGCCTACTCTAACTCAGAGTGCTCTAAAGTGCTATGTAAACACAACCTTTAATGGTCCAAACAGTGCTGAGCTACTACATTGACTATTATTGGCGGATTCATATATTAATACATCATGTTTGTTTCTGAGGTGGACGATATTTCAGAGTCTCTTGCTCGAAAAGTTACAAATCGATCCATTGTGGCTCACAAAAATGTCCAAACACTTGAAATAAAAATACAGGTAAGTGGCCCCTGTGTTTAAATAGTACGTAACTGTTAGCTAACTAGTTCTAGTTCATCATTTCCATTTTGGACAGGTGGCGCACAGTGATTAAGCGTTAGCTAGCTAACATGATTGCACAATGATTCAGTTAGCCTGTCATCAATGTTGTGTACTGTAAATTGTGACATGGTTTTGGTTACAATTTGAAAAACGCGAGAGGGTGCGCTTTAACGTTATTTGTGACATGACAGAGATGTGGTCAGGACTGAGGCGTGGTATTACCAACAAAATAAAATTTGTAATCAAATCTAAATGCTTTTAGGCCTGTTTTTCACAAGCAAAAATTAGCATTAGCTTTATCAGTTAACCATAGCTGTATATACACTGTGCTAACCAAGCTAGCAGCCAGCACTGGGGGTAATTCCACCCTCACGTCCAAATATGGTAACTTGTGGCTCAAAAATCTAAGATGGTGTCGGCAAAAATGCCAAACTTGAGGCTTTAAAACCAGAGTCCACAAACCAATAGGTGATGTCATGGTGCCTACACACAATATTTTATACAGTCTGTTGCAGCCACCACCATGGCTAAATGCTAACGCAATTATGTTAAGGTAACAACCACTAAAAAGATACTGACTGCAAAAAACTCTGACTGTAATTTGTTCTTTTCCAGAAACATTTTGTTCTACGACATAAAATACAGTCAGTAAATACCCCACTTGTGAATTTTGAAGCTTTTAGGTCTCGCAAAAAAGGCGGTTGCTAACAAGTGGCCAAATGAGACTACAGAACATCCTTGTGCCATTAGCTTTTACTTCTGGCGATTGCATTTATGCTTCAAAAATCAAAAAAGTGGTATTAATTAACAGAACGTTTGAGTATCATGAATGTTTGTTTGCTAATCCAAAATCCAATTGAAAAAGTCCCATTGACTTTTTGACGAGGGAACCAAGGTGCCACCAACTTCCACATCAGCCTACAAAAACACAAAAGTCGTCCCCGCAGCAGTCCATAGCAGAGTGCTGCTCTTCATTATAATGCGTCATCCTCCTTCACCTATTGTCTTTTTTATAGAGTTATAAAGGAACTTTATCAAGGAAGATGAACTTTTGCTCTGAGGTTTATTTTCAGCTCTTTTCAACTATTTCTGTTCTCAATCTCTGATATTCTTATTTCCTGACATAACAGGATGTATATTTTTAGTATTACACTTTTTTTTTTTAGCCATTATTTACCCCTTATCTCGGTTAACATAGATACTGCCACCTCATCCTATCATTTTGTACTCTCTATATAACCCAGCAATCTACAATATGACTTAACCTCCCTCTTTTTTTCCTAACTCCTCTTTCACACGCATACACACCCAAAAAAACAGACTTGCAACACAGCGATCAGAACACCGATGACACCCACACGGAGAATAACTACTCATTTCTTACATCTCACTTATCGCTCGGCCTCAAACACTTCCTCTGGGAGTTGGACAGCTGTTATCTTTGGCCGCCAATGTCACTGTCACACAAGTAATAGGAACCCTGTGCTCGCTTTCAGGCCTCTCTCCCCCCACTCAGCTCCCCCGACCCGTCAAACAGAGGAAGTTTTCACAGAGAGCAATCAATATAAAATGAAACCCTGTCTAGATTGTCAGATTCCCATTTCTTCCCTTTCCTCCTAGTCCTCCATATTCAGATAGTGGCACGAGCCCTGCAGATAAGCCTGGGAAGGCCTCGGTTATCTGGAGCACAGCGTACGGTCTGTCAGGCTCTGACCCTCAGCTTGTCAACAGACATCCTCGGAGAGTGTCGGGGAATGGGATACAGGTGTTTCACAACCACAGGAGCTAGTGGTGGGTAGATAAGGAACTATATTTCCTCATGTTTTAGTGCTTTTATTAAAGAATCCTTTGCCTGTTTCCAGACGTATGATTAACTTCAGCAGTAAGAGAACTAATATTCCCAGAAAACCAGTGATGTCTGACTTGAACAGCTAAAGCATAGTGTCCCTTTTGTAGCTTATTCAAATGACTTTGTTTAAATTTAGCTGGACTATATAACAGGAATAGATCTAGGATGCACTGGAATACTCCTGACTGACTACATGACTGACTGTCTATCAATATTGAATCAAACTGCCATCTGCAATACGTGCACCAGCTGTATGTTTGTCTCCCGTGGCTGACTTGTGAGAGCAGCGAGGCCGGGGCGGGCAGCAGTGCAGCCCGGGTCGCGGGGTCACGGCTGCGGTATGCTCTCTCCAGAGCCGGAGAGAGGTGCTGCTCTGCCAAAACCCCTCCGAGATCCGGTCTGCCGGCCTCCGCCATCTGCACAGAGCCCAAAGGAGGAAGCAACAAGGGGAGCAGAAGGGAGGAGGAGGAGGAGGAAGAAGGGGGCCCAAACAAACGTGTCCCACAACGTACTTTGGCAGGAAGCAATCCAGCGTGGGCTCTGTTTCAGCACAGGAAACTTCCTGCGGTAAGGTTAGAGAGAGACGCCGGGAGGTTTATTAACAGACAGCAGCAAGACGGAGATGACAAAAGGAAGAGTGGAAACAGAAAGGAAAGAGTGATGAGAGCCGCAGCAGCACTCAGTGTGTGAGGACGGGGGGGGAATTATGGCAGATGAAAATCGCAAACAAAGACGCAAAAAGAGGAAGGAAAGTCAAACAGGAAGGGAAACAGATACTAAGCCCGTTCACAGAGTGGGACGTCAGGCTCAGCCCTGAATTCTTGCTCATATCTGATTCTTGTGACTCTTACCTATTCTGGAATGTAACAAATATATAAAGCCTGTGAGCTAGTTCAGGCAGTCAACCTGAGTCAGCACTCACATGGCTTACTCCTATACTAACCAATGGTGGTGTACGTAAGCAGTCAGTGTTCTGCTCACTTTTCTACTGACATGCTCTGCTCTGTTCTGTTCCTGGCGGGTTTTTGCTGCTGCTCTCCCTGCCTCAGGCTTTCCATGTAGGCACATGGAAGGGCAGAGAGGTTTGCTCTCTCTGCCTCAGGCTTTCCTTGTGTGCACATGGAAGGCAGAGAGGTGTGCTCTTTCCACCTAAAGCCTTTTCTATGTCGGCACATGGAAAAGGCTTTCTCCGTAAACCTAGGAAAGGCAGAGAGGCCCCAGAATGGAGCTATACCGCCAAATATAATACTGCAAATGGAAATTAAGTTTTCTTTGACTAAAGTGGTCCTGACTGAATGAAGGTCCTGCGGTCAGAATGTTTTCTTAAATGGAGGGGGAAAATAACGTTTTTTTAAAAAATACCTGCTTATGTGTAGACCTGGCTGAAGTCTACTACAAGAGTGGACAGCTTTGCCTGCATCCAAATCTTTGTACTTACATCGCTTACATTGCTTACCTCACTCATGAGTCAGTGTACAAGTGTGGTGTTTGCAATGTGGCAGATAGTATTCAGCACTCAGGAGTATGTCTAAAT